ATGGGTGGGGGTGGGCTGGAAAGAGAGAGAGAGTGATTGTCTAGTTCTGTTCTTATCTCTACTGGGATTAGAATTCAAGTTCTTGTTCTAAATTTCTCATGAAGCTCAGCAAGTTTTTAGATTATTTTATCAGCTCTGTTGCAGGAATGGTCATCATCCTGTACTAATTAAATGACCAAATCTTACCTGTCATCTTATGGTCAGGTGTGTGTGTGTGTGTGTGTGTGTGTGTGTGTGTGTGTGTGATATTTGTTCACCACTGTCCAGTCCTTTTACTGCTCACTGGCTTTTATATAATCTCGCCTTATGAAGGATTGCTTTGTTCAGGCATTCTCATTCTTTCAGCTGATATCTATTAGGTAGACAATGAGGTGAAATATGCTATATGTACATGAATGCAAAGATGAAGGATAATGGTGTGTTATGTTCTTTTTTAAAATGTAGGTCTTTAACTTTAAGAAACTTAAAGTCATCATTAAGGAATGATAATATAAGCAGTGTGAAAATGCCATTGTGGAAGATATTGGGCAGGGAATCTTGTATAACCCAGATCTTCATCAGAACCCATTCTTTTGACACTTCTATCATAATAAATTGAGCTTTTTGTGAACTATAAATAGTAAAGGTAATCAGTGCTGTACCAGAAATGGTTTTAAGAGGCAGCTGCATTTTTTTATTAAACTTTTGTCATAAACAGTTAATTATTGGTTGTACTCAGCATTTTTAATGACTAATTATAAAAACAAAGTATTAGAATCTGGGACTAATCTAATCTCATTTTCTTAGATTAAAAAAAAGTAAAGTCACATGGTAGGAGTATGCGCACCTTAGTGCATGGCACAGGCTGCTCACACCTTTGGGATTCCACGAGTAGCAGAAAGTGTAGCTTTAGATATTATTTAAATAAATGTTGAAGGAAAACTAGCTACCTGTCATAAATTAAATACCAGAGAGTCTAAGAATATCATCTTAAGGGTGTCACAGCAGTGTTCCAGTTTTTTATTATTCTTATTGGTGCATATGCCACAGAGTGTGTGAAGGTTGGAGTATAATTTTGAGGCATTTGTTTCTCTCCTACCTTTTCATGGGTTCCTTGGGTTGGACTTAAATTGTTAGGCTTGTGTGTCAGTTGCCTTTCCATCTAACCAGCCTAATTTCTTACTTGTAATGATCCATTTGAATATTTAAATTATGGGGTATCATTTTATATAAATTCCATTAAAAGCTGAAACCAGTGTGCTCAACTCCAGATGGCCTAACAGTATTTCAGTTAAACTGGGAATCACAGGACCTGCAGACTTCCATGAAGATAATGCAAATACTGCAGCCACAAAGCAGTCATAATTATGGTAGAAATCATTCTGTAAAAAGAGTGACCCATATTTTGGCCTCATACACAGATACACAACATTTTTAAGTAGTCCATGAATAGTGTGCATATATTATTAAATACATGAGTAAGGCTGACAGTTAATGGTGTTGAAGAATAAAAATTAGTAGTATGCCTGGGGCAATGGTGCTGTAAGCCTTTAATCTCAGCACTTGGGAGGCAGGGGCAGGCAGATCTCCAAGTTAGAGGTGAGCCTGATCTACAGAGTGAGTTCCAGGACAGCCAGAGCTATACAGAGAAACCCTGTCTCAGAAAAAAGGAAGGAAGGAAACTAAAAAACTAAAAAACCAACAGTGTACATTAAAAGTCTTCTCTATCAACTTAAAACTAGAATAAACTGTATAAACTCTGCAGCTAGAATAGAGATGGAGAGGCCTTGTTAGATTGGAGTCTGGAGGCTTGTCTACACAGTGTTAAAGCTTGACTTGGAGTTGATGGTTCAAGAAGTAACCCCACAGTGGGTATCTGGCAAACCTAGTGATGACAACTGACCACAGCAGAAAGTCTCTGCTAGTCATATTCCCTAATGAGAGTATTACAGTATGACACTTAACACAGAGAAGGGTGTATTATAGCCTCAGGTGCTAAAGGAAATAAAGTTCAGTTATATGCAAAGGCAATACACTTACCACACCAGTTAATTGCATATCATACCAGTTTCCTTGTTATAGGAAATCGAACAGTTAATATGTCTGGAATACTCATAGCACAGATCATCTTAGGAAAGAATATGCAGCTGTGCACTGAGATCCATTAATAGTGAGTTTCTCCATCAACTTTAATCCTTTGTTTGTTTATTAAAGGAAAGGACAAAATAACTTGGTGTGGTATTGGAAGAATTCTTGAAAAGATGAGCAGTTAGGAGGCTAAGTGGTTGATTGCCTGCATTTTGATGATCTAGTTTATGAACTCAAGCAAATATCTAAGTCTGCATTTCAAGGTTTCCCACTTGGGGGCTCATATTGCTGGTTGAAAAGAACCCAGAAGACAGGCAGAATAAATATCTTCTAACTAGAAAAGAGAGTGAATTGAATTTAGTGAACTTAACTAAGAAAATAGTTATTGTAATATTTGTAGTCATGTGCCACTTTATATCCCTAGTAAAATGAAATAAACTAATGTGTGTGTGTGTATGTATATACATATACACACATGTGTGTCATTTAATAACAAAATTGGCAAAGCCAGGCATGGGGCAGGAGATAGGGGGATTGCCATGGGTTTGAGGCCATCCTAGGTTCTATAGTAAATTCTAGACCAATCTGCATTATGAAAAGAATCTGTTTCAACACACATACACACACACACACACACACACACACACACACACACACACACACACACGGAGAGCAATTGATTGAAAGCAAAGAAAACCTGATTCAAATATATTAACATTTAGTCCTTATCTGTTTTACCTTTATTTATTAGTAAATAGTAAAATTTATGTATCCAACATGTAAAATAGGTTGATTCAATTAAGTAAAATTTCTTCTTAACACTAGGGGGCGCTCTAGACTTATAAATTCTTGTTACATGCGCCCCACACACACACACACACACACACACACACACACACACACACACACACAGGCTAGGAAATATTTGAAAACATTTTGTTACATAGAGCGTTATTGCCAGAGAAAATCAGAGGCCAGCTTAGGCTCTGTAGTAAGTTCTAGACCAGTTTGGTCTGCAGAGTAAGATTGTGATTCAGATTGCATACACCCTCTCCCCCCTTCTTTCTCCCTGTCCCTCTCTCTGTCTGTGATTAAAATTGAAAATAGGTCAAGAAAACCTGATTCAAATGTATTAATGTATAATTAATTATAAAGCTGGGTTTTAAAATATTTATTTAGTGAGATTGAATCTCACTGTGTAGGACAGGCTGGCCTAGAACCTGCTATATAGCTCAGGCTGGTCTTAGGCTGTGATCTTTTTGGCCTCACAGGGTTGGGGTTACAAGTGTGTATTACCATGCCCATCACAAGCTGATTTTTAGTGTAGTAGGGCAATATCAGCCTTGCCTTACCACTGAGTGTATTGTAAGGATAATGGAGCCTGTGCAATGAGATAGTGTGAGCTAGAAGGAGTTTCCGTGTTCTTGATTTAATCCTACTAATTCAAATATATTTTTAAAAAATGTAGTGTGATGTTATGTTTCTAGGAAGTGCTAAGGCTAATCTGAAGAAATGAAGATAATTTAACACATGCTTGAAAGCTGCTGTCATTAGTTATAATTTTAAGCATTTGAAACCCCAGGAGCATGTTTTGGTCCATTTAAGAAACAGATTCCTAATCCTTGCATGTGAGGGTTTTCATGTTGCTCACCAGATATACTCTGATTGCCAGCCATGTATTTACACAGTTTTTTTCTTTTTGTCTTTTTTTCTTTATTTGGAAAAATGTTATATTTAAACTTTATATTTGTTAAATAGACAATAAAAAAATTGCATCCTCATTGCATTGTTGTAGGAACAAATTTACCATAAGTAAATGCATAGTAGCTCAGTTTTCTCCACCACAGCTCTGTGAAGCAGACACCGTTGCCCGTTTTATATATGAGGAAACAACAAAAAAGTTGATTTGTTGCATTCAGATGTAGACTTAAGCTTGTGATCTGTTGGGGAGGTAGGAGAGGATTTTGTACCGGGAATTGAACCTGGGTTCTTATACAACACACACACACCCGTTCTACTGCTGAGCTGTATCCCTTTCTGCCTGCCTGCCTGCCTGCCTGCCTGCCTGCTCTCTATAGTCAGTTGCCTGGTAAATAGTGTAGAATACCTAACTTACAGGGTTTTTTCTGTTGTTGTTGTTTTGTTTTGTTTTGTTTTGTTTTTTTGAAGAAAGACATTTAAGTTTGGAAGTCTGTTTTCCCCTGCCAATTTATGGAAAAGAAGTTGTGTTATATTGTTTGGGAAAACCAGTAAAATCCCAGGTGAATATTCTGATCTTAGTAAGTGGAAAGAAATAACAGTGTTAATGCAAAGAATATTCGGCTGGAGTTGTAGAAGTTCTGAGTCATGTTCCTCACTTGCCTGCTAGTGTTCCCAGAGGGAATAGTAATGGTGTTGCTGTCACACTTGCAAGTACAGAGTTTTCTCTTTACCCATGTTTTCAATGGGATAACGGATTGAGGATATTCAGCAACCTTAAAGCCCTACACAAATGAACCTACCATGTATTGTGGTTTGGTGCCATGTCCTGTAACTTTTTTTATTTTTGACTAAAGCAGTAATGTCAAGTTTCTTCAGTATTGTTAATCTAGAGGTGGCATCTGAACCTTGAGAACATCATGGAGGTGGGGGATGTGTCACTTTGCCACATGTTTCAAATACTTGTTATTTAATTAAAACTAAAACTGCTGTGCAATTTGAGTCTTTCCCCACAGTATTCTATTCACTTACTGAGTGCAGTAGCACTTTTATTTCACTCTAACTGAAGCGACTATGCCACACTTCATATTTCTGATCTCTGAACACTGTGGCTTAGTGAAAACAAGAATTTAGCAGACTGACAGACTTTCCCAGCACGGCAGTGGCATGGCTGTTTTTTGTGAGCTTAGAGGAAGACACACATTTTGATATGTTTTTCTTTTTTTTCCTAACAGGAATAATGTATTTGTGGCCTTGGACATGAAGTAATCAGACCTGTTGCTGTTGATATAGGATCAGGGACTGATGAGGGCAGCATGGACCTGATGAACGGGCAGGCAAGCAATGTTAATATCGCAGCCACTGTTTCCGAGGTAAGACACGTAAGGACCTCATTATAAAGATTCTTATCTGGCTTTCTAAAGTTCTGAGCATTCAAGTTGGTTACATTTTAAAATCAATGTGAGCATAGAACTAGCCAGCTTCTACAGTGTCTTTCCAATTACTCTTTCTTAATCATCATACATAGTAGTAGATTTTGTTGTTGTTATCTTTGTACCTCACTCATGTTTGTCCCTTCCCTCCTCTCTTGCTTGCTAGTCTCCTTCCCTCTTAGCTTTGATCACACACATACCTAGGTTCTGTTTATGAGAGTTTGCTTTTGTCCCTTCCCATTACTTTCTCTTATTTTCTCCTCCCTTCCTTATAGACATCTTACTCTACTTAATAGTTCCCACTCATCCTTCCTGTTATCTATAGATACATGTATGTGTATATTTAAATGTAAATTCTTCATAATAAGAGAAAAGCATGCAATATTTGTTTTTCTGAGGGTGTGTGTGTGTGTGTGTTGTATGCACATGAATGTACAGGTTCATGTGCCTTACTGCCATAAGACAATGCTGGGGTTGCAGGCATGTTTGGCTCTGTCTGGTCTTTTAAATTTTTTTTTTTTTTTGGTTGGTTGGTTTTTTTATTTTTTGAGACAGGGTTTTTCTGTGGCTTTGGAGGCTGTTCTGGAACTAGCTTTTGTAGATCAGGCTGGCCTCAAACTCACAGAGATCCACCTGCTTCTGCTTCTCTAAAGGCGTGCGCCACCACACGCTAATGCCTCTGCTGAGCCATTTTTAACAGTACGTGTTTGTTTGTTTTGAAACAGGGTCTCACTGTGTGGACCAGGCTGGCCTTGAACTCACAGAGATCTGCCTGTATCTGCCTCCCTCAAGCGGTGATTAAAGAACATGAGTCACCATGCCTGACTTTTAAAAAACAAAAACAGAACAACCCCCAAGCAAGTAGATAAAGTACTTGTATGATGCAGAAATAATTGCTTAAAACTCTTGGGATTAGTATTGAAACTGTTTTGGGATATTCTATTTCATGAACCTTTAGAGTACCTTTTAGACCTCGACTTTAAACCTGTTGTCGATTAGATCAAAATCATTAGAGTTGAAATGGACTTGAAGACTGAACTAAGAAGTCAGTTCTTGCTTTTATGTGTTCAACTTTATTTTTCCTCACCAGGTTTTGCTTTGTTTACAAATCTTGAATACTTTGCTTGATAATTTCAGCATTTCCTACTTTGTTAGGGATTTTCTTACTGTGCTAGGAGACTAGAAGAGAATATTGTTTAATTTTTTAGTTCCCTGGACTGAGAGCCCTGTAACAATCTTTACCCCACTTGTGGTTTCTGTGATATCAGTTTCATAGCTTTCTGTGTAGAGACACAGATTTTTTTTTTTTCTTGCTGTTGTTTTGTTTACTTGAATTGCTTTGGGCACCACACCCTTCTGTCACAACATAGAGTCAGAGAGTCTGCCAACAAGCCTGAAATTATAATCTTATGTGATGTAATCATGGAAATCATATCCCTTTTCTTGCACATTCACTTCATTAGAAGCAAGTCATAGATCCTGCCCACACTGAAGGGGTCAGCATTACTCAAGAATGTTTTATTTTAAAATGCCAGATCTTATGGAGCCCAGGCTCACCCCTCAAGCCCAGTGTACAGCTGAGACTCTTCCTGCCTGTTTCCCCAATGCTAGGATTGTAGCCAAGCCTGCCTCACTTTCCTGTTTTTTTTTTTTTTTTTTTTTTTGTGTGTGTGTGTGTGTATGTATGTTTTTGTTTTGTTTTTTCTGGTCCATTTAACTGAAATTTAATAGCAATTAGTACTCTTTCTTTTATGAACGTGTGTGTGTGTGTGTGTGTGTGTGTGTGTGTGTGTGTGTGTGTTCCGCAAGGGTCCAGATACCCCTGGGTGTCAGGTTGCCTGGAGCTGGGGTTATGGGTGATATGAGCCTCCCACGTGGGTGCTGGTGCGGTGAACTCTGTTCACTGGACGAGCAGGAAGCACTCTTAAACAGCTGAACTCCCTCCATAAATTAATATTGTTTATTAAAGTACAGCTTTTAACCTTCCCGTAAACTACTGATGGTTCTTTGTTGCCTGCTAATTGACTTAGATGCTCCCACAGCCAGCCTTTCATCCAGGACTTGGGTCAGTCCCTCCTCGGTATATTGTAGACCTGTCTGTGTGTGTGACCTGGTGCTTTTGTGTGTAGGCCAAAGGCAGTGTTGGCTGTTTTCCTCTGTCATTTTCTGTTTGTGTTTTCAGACAGAGTGTCCTAGTTTGCTTTCTGTTGCTATGTTAAACCTTTTAACTAAAACTAACTTAGGACAGAAAGGGTTTATTTGGTTTACATGTGACAGGGCATCATTGAGGGAAGTGAAGTAGGAGCTTGAAGTAGAATCTAGGAGAATGCTGCTTGCTGGCTTGCTCCCTTTGGTCTTGCCCAGTTTTCTTTTCCTAGACAGCACAGGCTTGCCTGTCCAGGGATGATGCGATGGTGCCAGTCTCAGTGGCCTGTGCCCTCCCCTATAAATCATCAGTCAAGACAATTCCCCACAGATATGCCTACATCTGATATGGCAATTCCTCAATTGAGGTTCGCTCTTCCCAGGTGACTCTAGTTTGTATCTAGTCGGACATTCAAAGCTAGCTAGCATAGGGTTTTTCACTGACCCCTAAGCTCATAAATTCAGCTGGACAAGATGGCCCAGCAAGCTCCAGGGCTCTTGTCCCACTGTCCTCGTGAGAGCACCTAGGATCCAAGCTCAGGTGCTCTCACTGGAACAGCTTCTTTAACTTGCTGAAGCCCCTCCAGATTTTCTTTCTAATGGGCTTAATCTCCATTAGTACTCTATTTGAATTTAATATTCTGTTCAGAGAATATCATATTTTGTTGATGCTTCTGTTACAACTTGTCTATATAGGTTTTTCCACATGGGATTTTCCTTCCTTCTGGAGCTTTCCTTTCTCGGTGCACAGAAATTTGCTGTATTTTAAACAAATCCATTTCTAGTAAATAGATGAGAGTTATTTTTGAAACTACAATTTAAAAATCATATTTTCTTGTATAAATTTTGTTCATAGCTTTTCTTCTTGAAACAGATTGTGTGTTTGTTATGTTGTAGCTATATTCCTTATATATGTCATGTATATATGGTTAGTGTATTTCTAACTGTGCATCCAGAGATAACTATTTTAGTTCATTGGAAGCAGTGTACAAATCCAAATAAAATAGATCATTTCACTTATACAAAAAAGTGTTTCTTCTAAAAGTAAGTAAATTATGTTAGGCTTTAGAGTAATGTACTTTGCTAAATGAGAAGGAAGGCCAAAGAGATCTACCTTTAAATAGTTTTACTGTGTCAGGACAAAATTAAAAACATGTTTTTTTTTTCTACTTCATCATAAGCTTTAGATTTTTTTAACATATCGCTGCAGATTTCCTTAAAAAGTGATACTTAAGAATAAAATTCTTAACTTGAACCAATTGGCTTTTTCCTTAATATTGTCTGTGGCTTTTAGGCCACTAGTTTGTCACATAAGTCAGTTCATTATCTTTAAATTCTTCATTCAGGTTCTCAGGACACAGGCAGAATGCAGCCATACTATTACACACACTCCCAGCCCAGTGCCTGTCCCTCCCACGCCCCATGATCTAGGCCTCCACTGAATGTCTCTCTGAGCATTCTTTTCTAGTTAGCTTCCACTTGAACAGCCCACTTAGCTGTTCACATCCCTCTCACAAAATGGTTACAAAGTCCTGGAAGCCACATAGTAGGTCATCACAGCATCAGACCTGGTGTTACCATCTACTTAGTTTCATTTCCTGTTGCTGTGATAATTACCTGTACTAAATCTACTTTCTGGAAAAAGGGTTTAGTTGTCTCACAGTTCCAGATTACTGTCTGTCACTGTGGGGAAGTCAGGGCTGCGGGAGCTTGAAGCAGCCAGTCACATTATATCCCTAGTCAAGAACAGAGAGGAGTGAATTAATGCACCCTCCATGCTCAGCTCACGCCCTCCACTCTCACACAGTCCAGGATTTTCTGCCCCTGTGGCTTTTCCTGGCCTCTCTTCAGGGGATCCAATCCTTCTCCACCAACCAAGCCTTTGATCCTGGGGCTTTCATTGCCGCCATGGCTGCGCCTTGGCCAATGGCTACTCCAGACCTCTCTGCATGAACTCCAACCTTACCATGTAGTACAAAGCATCAGCCACTCTCCACGCCATCCTCATGCCTTCAACCCTAGTACCATGTGAGACACTGTTCCATACTGTAGTGTTAGCTTCCAGCTTCAAATTGAGCCTTGCCCACTGTGTGCTGGCCTCAGTGATGCTGTTCTCCTAACCATCAGAGACAATTCTTCAGCACAGTTTTACTTCATAGATTCTTAGTCCAGACCGTCACACGGACAGCCCTAAAGTTTGTGCTTTGCTCTGAAACTTCACTGACCAGACCTCCATTATCTGCATTTTCTTTCAGCATTCTTATCTTTTAAGCTCCTAGAGAACAGCCTGAGCATTCAATGGCTTTTCCAGCCCAAAGGTCCAAAATCGTTCCAAAAACTACTTGTCAGGTCTGTTCCAACAACAACCCCAGTCTTCTGACACCACTTTTGTTGCAGTTGCTATCTGTTGGCATGATAAACACCATGACCAAAAGTGACTTGGGGAGGGAAGGGCTTATTTCAATTTACAGAGCAAGTGGGCAGGAGCTCAAGGAAGAAAACTGGAAGCAGGAACTAAATAGGTTCCATGCAGGAAAGCTGCCTACTGGCTTGTCCCTAGACTCTTCTACCAATGTTCTTATACAGCCCAGATCCATCTGCCTAAGGATGGTGCCTCTCTCAGTGTCTAGGACCTCCCACATCGATTAGCAATAAGAATATGCCCCACAGTCATGCCTACAGCACACAGTCTGATGGGGTAGTTCTTTTAAGTTCCCTCTTATTAAGTGTGGCAGTTGACAGCCAAATCATCCATTACCATATATTAACAAGTATGAATGGCTTATATCATTGTTTAATAAATGGAGTTCTAAATATTTTCTTGTTACAAGAGTATTTTCTATTCTAATTTTAAAAGTTATATAAATACAGTCATGAATTGCATAATGGCATTTTGGCTAGTAGCTATTTCATGTATAGTAATGGTGCTGTGATCATGTTAACAAGTATAGATTATGTGAGTAAACTTTGATAATGATTGACAAGATTGTTTGACAAACATTGACAGTATCTGCATTAAGTGATGCATGACTGTAGATGTACAGTGGTCTCTTTTCTTCACCTCATGCTAGAACTAAGTAAAATCAGAATGTTTATTTGAAGAGACATACGAAAGAGTAACTTACGTAAGAACCTAAAAAAATTGAAACTCAGCATTGGGTTTCACATTTTCTGGCTGTTTATACAGCATTCCTCCAACTAAGCAACATGCTCTGCTCAGCTTTTGTGCATCTTTTTATTACACAGTGTTCTCGGTTCGTGTGTGTGTGTGTGTGTGTGTGTGTGCGCGCGCGTGCACGCGCACGTGCATGTGTGTGCATGCGTTCATGTTTGTGTGCAAGTGGACATCAGCTGTTGATACAGGTGTCTTCATTCACTGTCCAGTTCCATTTTGACAGCGTCCATCACTGAACCCAGAGCTTATGATTCAGCTGGTCTAACTGCCAACGAGCTGCATGGATCATCTTTTCTTTGCGCACTACCCAGCACTGGGGTCAGGGAAATACACACACAGCCTACATTTTACACGTTTATGTAGCATACACTTTACCAACTGACCATACCCTCAGCCCCAGAGCTCCTCAGATTTTGAGGCCTGTCTGCTTTGTGTGACACTGGCTGAGATGGTGTTTAAAGGCTGTGTTTTCTTTCTTGACAGAAAAGTAGCAGCTCTGAGTCATTAAGTGACAAGGGCTCTGAACTGAAGAAAAGCTTTGATGCTGTGGTATTTGATGTGCTTAAGGTTACACCAGAAGAGTACGCGGTAAGTTTTCTGCCTCCAGCTTTCCAGTTTTTGCATGCAATTATATACTTGTGTTATTATTATTATTGAGTTAGAATTGGAGAATAGCGCAAGTGTGGAGAAGGATGAGGGGGGAGAGAAGGACAGCTTTCTTTTTAAAGGGCAATTTCTTGTTATCCCTTCTGTTTGAGAAAACAAAAACAAAACTAGATCTGATCACTGCCTTTGCTGACTCAAGCCTCCTTATGTTCAAAAGTATTTTTTTGCTTTTTTGTAAATTTAAAAATTAGGAAATAAGATTTCTCAATCATTGGAATATCTAGATTTGTTCAAATTATCTAGCAAATCTTTTTAATTGACATAACTGTTCATTTACTTAGGTCTTTGGTGTCCTTTTGTTAACAAGACTTTTTTTGGTCTTGAACCACTCTGCATTCCAGGAATCGTGTTCTTATGTGTAGTATGTATTTACCCTTCCCTGATTGCTTCATTTAAACTCTTTTTATATACATACATTTGTTTATTTGTTTGAAAAAGGGGCACATGCACCATGGTGGGTGTGTGGTCAGAGAACAACCTCAGAGTTGGTTCTCTGCTTCTGCCATGTGGGGTCCAGGGATTGAACTCAGGTCCTGACTTTAAGTCATCAGTCTTGGTGCTGAGAGACCTGCTGATCCACCTAATGGATGACAGTGTCAAAATCCGCTCTTTTTCCGGCCTTACCTAGGAATGAGATAACTAGGAGTAAGTACATTTAATGGCACAAAGACTACAATTTCTATTTTCTTTAAGGCCTGAAAGACTATGTATTGGTAATTTAGTATGAGGTAGAGATTTTATTTTATTTTGAATAAATTTTTTATCATAGGGTTCCAAAGAACTTGGCATTCAAAACAAAACAAATCCCCCTTTGTCTTTCAGGGTCAGATAACACTAATGGATGTCCCAGTGTTTAAAGCTATCCAGCCAGATGTAAGTAATTTTAGGAATATTCTTGTAAATATACAGAACGATCAACCACAGTATCTGAAGATGTTCAAGAAATCTAAATCATATTTCATATAATCATTAAATGTCAAAGCTTGCACCTTCACTGTGTTTATTTTGTGCTTGGAGACTCAGGTAGCATTCCTCAGAGTACATTCTTTAGTCATGACTGGGATGCTTGAATCACTGGCTCATTTGATGTCATTACTGAAGGAAGTAATAAACTTATAGAAGTTAAGTGATTTACTCAGGACTTTGGAGCTTTTTAATGGGAAGGTGAAAATTAGACATAAGTAGTAAGCTTTCCTTCTACCTGAATTTCATATAATGTGACAGTTATTTTAGCTTATTTAATTTTTAAAAATTATTGTGTATGCTCATGTGTTGTAAGTGATGTGGGGGCATGTACAGAAGTCAGAGAACAACTTTTATGAAATCAGTTTTCTCTTTCCACCTTCATGTGGATCTTAAACTCAGGTGGCTAGGCTGGGCAGCACTTTAGAGGAGGATCAAGAAACATATTTCCCCCCAATAAAAATAAAGGAACTAATAATATATATCTACTCAGTCACTATAAGCACGTGTGTGTGTGTGTATTTATTTTCTGTTTTTATATTATTATTATTGTTGTTGTTGTTGTTGTTATTGAGAGAGAGAGTTTCTCTGTATAGCCCTGGTTGTCCTGGAACTCACTCTGTAGACCAGGCTAGCCTCTAACACACAGAGATCCCCCTGCCTCTGCCTTCTGAGTGCTGGGATTAAAGCTATGTGCTACCATGTCCAAAATAGTTTATCATTTTAAAGACCTGTGTATAATACTATTTTTGCTTTATTGATGAGGGAATAGTGGTAGTTATCTTTTATATACAACTGTCTGCATCTGTTTTGTGTTGCTGTAACAAAATGTCTGATGCTGGGCCTTAAGTGAAAGCCCCATGGGCTGGCTCACAATTTGACAGGAAAGTAGAAAGGGACATGGCCATGTCAACAGGGGCCAAGCCAAGCAGGGTTGTCTTTATGACAGCCCACTCCTGGAGAACTACCTCAGTCCTGGTGTGCTCCTGTACCCTGACTGCTTTATATAAGGCCCCTCTTAATGCTTCTCTGTCTCCCCACGCTGGAGAGTCAGGCTTAGCACATGTACCTTCGGGAACATATCACATTGACTCTATAAACTATTAACAATAACTCGGTGTTGACACTAGGCTCAGATTCTGAGAAGACAGTTTTTGCTCTTTGTAAGAATATATATAAACTTGATTTTTCTCCCCCAAACAAAACCATTTTGATAGTTCATGGTTGGTTCTTTGGGAATGATATACAGTATTTATAGTGTTATATGCAAATCTATAGTGACCCAGAACACTGTAATAACTAATAAATCTATTATATCTGAGATGTAAACAGGTTATTGTGATTTTTTTCTAAGTAGGCTACTTAATGTGTTAATAAACTGGAGTTTACTGCTTATCAAGTGAAGTGAGAACTGCCTGCATGTTCTCTGAGCCCCTGTCATTTCCCACAAGCCTGTGATTATCTTTCTCTACACTGCAGAGTGGTCCAGAAGTAGAGCTATTGGATTAATAGTGGACAAAGGAGAACTGTGCTCTCTATAAATAATGGACAGAGAATGGCTTTTATATTTCAGTGACCAAAACAAAACCCCTGTTATTCTTGACAAAAATTACCCCCCACATATACATCCCAGGATGTAAGTCTTCTAAGAGTCATTTTTCTTTTGACTAAGATATATTTACTATTGCTCTCTCACCAGACTCATGACAACCCATGGAAATCTAGTGTTGTTCACTGAACTGTGCATCACATAGTAGACACATTACAAGTGGTTTTATTTAACCTACAATACCTAAATATTTCAGTTTGTAATCAGCATAAGATTTTTATTGAGGTATTTTAAACTTTTCCCTTTTCAGATCCCAGAGTTGTCTTTAGGTTACTGCATGTTTTTACCTGCCTTTTCCGTTGTCTGTAGGATTTATGACTAGGGACTTAGACATTGTACATTAGGTTGTTGTCTGAAGACATAGACTGAACAATATTTGTGAAACTTCAAATTTCCCTTGGCTTCATTTCTTCAGTAAAAACAGCTCGATCCCCTTGATTTCCATTTCCCCACCCTTTTTGAAACAAGGTTTTAGGTAGCCTGGGCTAGCCTTGAACTCAGTATGTATAGCTGAAGACATAAGACTGGGAGCTCCTGATAGCCCTTTCTCCACCTCCTAGAGTTATAGGTGTGCATTGCTGCATCCAGCTCTGTTTCTTCATGCTGCCGTCATAAGTACCTAGTCTAAGAAGCCATCTTTTCTCCACTGAGTCACAGCGGTGCCCTCTCACTTGATCTATGTGTATACTGGTCGCTTTTCTTGTCACTGTGCTCAAATACCCAACAGAACTAACTTCCTGGAGGAAAGATTTATGCTTGTGGTTTCAGGGAGTCCCATCTGCCTGGTGGGGAAGGCATGGTGGAACAGAGTCGTTGATGCCTCATAGGCCTTAGAGCAGAGATGGGCATGCTGGCACTCAGCTGGCCCCTCACCCCATGGTGTAGTGCACCCCTCATTCAGACTAGGTGGGTCTGTTAGTTAATAATTGTTGGAAAACTCTCACAGACAAACCTTGACATGTCTGTGCTACACCATCTTCTGAGTGACTTGAAATTCATTCCCTTGACAACACAGGTAAACCCTCACAGTGGGCTTTGCTCCTTTCTGACCCCTGGGGTCTGTTATCTGTCAGGCAGCTATGGCAAGCAACGTTGAAAATGTGCTCACGTGACTCCTGTTCAAACCACCTCAGTGGTTTTGCTTGCTTTGAGGATAAAGGAAAACCTTCACAGAATCTGAATCCCTTCATCATGCTGCCTTTTTCTTGCTTCTAAGCAGATTTCCTACTTTCTGGTCTAGCAAAATGGCCTGCCTTTAATCCTTCATCATTGAGCCTGTGCCTCTTGTGCTTAACTACCTCTTCTCCTTGAGTTGTCAGGCACAGTTAGGCATGTTTGTTTTTCTGCAGGCTCTCCTAACATCTTTCTAGCATCTTTACTTGTCATCTGACAAGTTTGTAATGGAGTAAGTATACTGAGTGTCTGTTATGTGTTAGCCCTGCTTTAGTTGCTGGAGATACAACAGTAAGCATGCACTGAAATTTGCCTTCACAGATTGTACGTTCTGGTGAGGTGAGCTAAACAGTATTATGTAAAAATTAGAAGGGAAGAGCATAGGATACAAAGTGTAGAGGGGTTTCAGTTTTAGATTGGATCATCAAGAAAACTTCACTGAAAAGCAGAAAGAATCCTTAAGGAGGTGAGACTGCATGTCATGAGGGCAGTGGGCTGGGTCGTCTTTTTGGGTTGAATGACCAGTTCACTAGGGTGGCCTAAGATGATCAGAAAACATAAATATGTACATTCATAACAGAAGCAAAATTATAATTATGAAGTGGCAATGAGAATAATTTTATGGTTGGGGGTCACCACAGCATGGGAAACTGTATTAAAAGGGTCTTAGCATTAGGAAGGTTGAGAACTGCTGTATTAGGGTGTTTGGAAAAATGTGTTCTAGTCAGGAACAGGTGAGGAGAGGGTAGTGGATTATGTCCTTCTAAGCTAGGTGAAAAAGGGCTGTATACAAGAGATGACGGATGAGTGAGGGCTAGATGGGCATGTTACCTTGGAAACAGTTACTGTGATGAAGGTGGTAAGCCATTGGGAGATTGTTTTTAATTGTGTGTGTTCATGTGAGTAAGTGCCCATGGAGTCAGAAGGAGGTGTCAGAGCCACTGTGTTGGAGGTAACAGTGTGAGGTGTCTGATGTGGGTGCTAGGAACAAACTCAGGTCCTATACAAGAGCAGTACATAGTGTTAAGAGAGTCATCTTTTCATCTGTGGAGGGTTTTGAGCAGAAGAATAACATTTTCTGATTAGGTTTTAAGTTGATGGATACGAGGGCAAGTGAGCATATGGGGGGGGGTGGAAGAGCAGTGCAAAGGAGTGAGTCAGGGAGATAATGAGATAACAAGTGCTGGCATTAGTGTATGACTGGAAAGATCGGGAAGATTTGTCACGCCGTGTATGCAAGGGGAACCATAGTGATGCCAGTTTTTGGTCTAACATCACATGTGAGTAGCTGATACTCTCTGAATAGAGAAATTATAATGTCAGCATCACACTAATGCTGTTCATATAGAACATAATGTTTTGTGCTAGACCAAGTGGAAACTGTAGATTTGGTGGCAAGGGCAATAGTTTGACTTTGGACATTATTAATTTTACATGCTTGAGGAGACAATTCAGTCAGGCAGTATATAATGGCATGCATTTGTAGTGTGAGCAGGAAATGTAAATTGTAAGGTGTCAGTGTAGAGCTGCTATTTGTGGTGCACATGGGGGCCGAGGATTCAATCCCCTGCACCCGAGTATCTAAAATGTGGGTAGGATTGCTAGGAAGTGCGTAAAGAAGAGCCCCGTGTAAGGTGTGTGGAACTGCCTGCCAAAGGGATGGAAGGGCAGCAGCCGGTGGTTTGGGAGGGAAACTAGTGCAGTGCGGATACCGGTGTGTGAGGCGGGAGCAGTCGCGCAGTGTCCTCCATCTTGTGCCCTTTGGCTGTTGCTTACCTCTCCTTGATTTGAAGCTGTGTAAAGGAGGGGATTGACAGCTTGTATACTGTTTTGTCTGACTTTTAGTGAGAACTCAATGTTTAGAATAAGAAATGAATGTAGTGTTTAGGAAATGCTCAAAGAGCAAAAGTCTTAACAAATTGATAGAAATAGCTGTTGGGAGAAATGTTAACACTAAATATTCTTGTTAGACATTGGTCTTGTTGAATCACAAGATTATTTTAAATCTGCTGGCATACATAGGATGAGTTTTGTGGCAGAAGAATGCTTGTTGTTTTATTTTGGAATATAAAAGACACATAACAAGGCTGAAAGAATTGTGTACTAGCCTGTCCTGGTAAAGCCTTTC